GGGTAGCTAGCCTTGGATTACTCAGACAGAAGAGGTATCTGGATAAGCCAAGCTTCAAATTTTCTTGCACCATCCTGCACTCAAGGGTTACGCCCTGCACTTGTTCAAACCTCAGAACAACTCACTGAAAAATATCATGCCTTAAAATCTAAGTAGTGCTCTCTCCAGGAGGGAAAGAGCCCTTCAGTCTAGTGTTTCACATTGCCATGATACATCCGGGGTCTCCAGTCAGCAAAATAATGGATGCTTCCTTTCATTTGCAGCTTTAATTGCATCTGCATGTCTTAGGATACGGAAAACCATCATCACCTGGCAGACCCGTGATAATTGCCAAAGCTTAGGGTGAGAATGTGGCAGTTGGTAAATATCAAGCCGTGTTCTTCTCTGCAGAGTGTGTACTCTTACACATAAAGACAAACTTGCTAATGACTTCTATAAATAAGTTCTTGCTTATAACTGTTGTTCCAGCAAAAGCCGCTGAAATGTAATCTCCTCTTTAAAACACCTTCCTTTTCTCTTTACTATTTTATGGGAAAGTGGCATGGGCTAGAATCGTTGTCACTGGCTGTGTGACCTCTCTGTACCTTCTTTTTTATCCTTTGTCTATTTTGGGAACAAACAGGCTGTGTGAGTGCCTCGAGGATACTGGATCTATAGATTTCATCTCTGGACTTCAGGGGTCCAGCATAGGGTGGGCACCTGGGACCTCAGTGCTGACAGAAGTAAACTCATTTGAGTTGGTGGTGCTTTGGAAAGTTGAAAGGACTATAGACATATAAGAATGGCCATTATATGGTGGAGGGGAGGCAGACTTAATGCTTATTTTCCCCCAGCATGTATTCTGTTCCTGCTGCATACTCTTACCGGAAAATGAATGCCTTAGAAATACTTTGCTCAGCTCTCAACTTAAATAAGCCATGGTGGGTAACCTATAACAACAAACCAAATCCAGCCCACAGTATGTTGTTGCTAATAAAGTTTGTTTGGAACCTAACCACACCTATTCTTTCCTATTTTCTCTTTGGCCACTTTAATACTAGGAAAACAGAGTTAAGTCACTGTGACAAAAGCTCCACAAGCCCTATGGATGGAAGATTCACTAGCTCACTTATTGCATTAAATGCCTTCTGCCTGATAAATTAGCATCTGAGCCACTTGGGAAATAAGCTCTCACTTCTTCCAGTGCAGGGAACACACACTGAGTTCTCCCCACTGGTAGCACTTTCCTCAGGATCCTCAGGAAGACAGGCTCAAAGACAGGATGCAGAAGAGGGAATTGCACACACCTAATCTCAACTGCTGCGGGAGCCAAAGGCTCAGTTATCTACTGTAAAAGTAAGCAAAGAGTAACAGCAAGCATCCTAAGAGCTGACTACTGAGTGTCTAGTGCATTCCAGACCCTGGGCCAAATGCATTTATCCAAGCCTGTGAAACCATACCAGCAGTTCTAGGAAGTTGGTAGCACTACATTCTTATGTAAAAATGAGAACCTGGGTTACCTGGGTGCTCAGGGATGAAGCTAAGCTTGGACATCTGTGTAATGTTATGAGACAGCAAGGGTCTTGATTCCTTTTGGGGATGGATACACCTCTGGAATTCAGACTGCTTCCTACCAGTCCCCTTACTTCTCAGGACATCGCATTTCATCGTCTGATCATGGCCTCTCTTGTTTCCCTTATCCATTTCATAGTTATTTTTACCTTGCCGTTACTACTATAGACAGATACAATGCTGAGTTCTAGGATGTTGGACATGGTTCTTAGCCCACTATGGTTTGTTTGTATCTATCCTGATCACCCAGTGCCCATGCCACTTGGTCTGTAAGATACCTGGAATTTCATTAGCCATGAGTTTCTCAAGAGCTAGAAGCAGCAGAATGCATTGATATACTTATAAAAAGATTTATTATAGCAACTGGTCCACCTGACTACAGCGGGTGAAAAGTCTCACCACATGGCATCCCTGAAGAACCAGGAATCCGTTGGAATGATCCCAGTCCAGGGCCAAAGTCTGAAGACCCATGGACATTTAAGTAGTGTTTGTGGTATGAATCTGAGATATCAAAGTCTAAGCTCTAGAACCAGGAATTGTGATTTCCAAGAACAGGTGAAGATGGATGTTTCAGCACCCAAGAAGAAAGAATTCATCCTTCCTTTGTCTCTTTATTCACTATGGACTTGTAGCAGATAAAAACCCATGTTTGAAAGGGTAGATATATTCTACCCAGTCTACTAATAATGTAAAAGGTGATCTGTTCCAGAAACATCTTCACAGACATACCCAGAAACATTGCCAGCTATTTGGACATCCCTCAGCCCCCATCAAATGGACACATCAATCTTTGCAAGTTAATTTACAATCACAATAAATCCTGGGTAAAAACACCATGGGAACAGAGAAGGGTTCGAAAGTCCATGTCATTGGTGTCTTAGAAAAGACAGGGTAATAGAGGACGGTGACATAAAGAAGACTGAGCAAGACTTCCTGTTTCTACTGTGACCCTCTTGGTGGCCAAAGAGCTCTTTCAAAATTGCACTTTATTTTCTTAACTCCAGCAACTTCCGGCTACAAAGACCCTCACCAAGGTCTGCAAAGTCATATGTGAGTTGGCCCCACCCTAAGCCACCCTTAACCATCTGTACTGCTTGTCACTGCCTCAGGTCCTTTGTGTGCACTCCGCTCTGTGTGATGGACATGCCTCCTTCTGACCTCCCCAGACCTTGTTCTTCTTGGTCATCAGGACCTCAGCTCAAGTATCTTGTCTGCAAAGAGCCTTTCACTACCTACACTAACAGATGTTGCCCACACTTCTATATGTACCCTATTCTTTCCATTGCTGCCATTTTGTAAGTTAAAACTGTAAGTGTAGGCCTGATAGAGCACTGCACAGGCAAATGGTCCCCTAGCCCCTGCCTGTGGTTGCCTTTCTGACGGCAGACTAGCTGTAGTGTAACTAACTGTCACCATTGGCAAAATATGTAAGGAGTTAAAAAGGCAAATTAGGAATGTCAAGAGCAGTGATAGTGTGTTCCCCCTCTGTGACATGTTCGGTGGACTCAGGATGTTCAGATCCATGGTACCCTCTGAATGGGCACTGCTGGGTTCCTGATGCCCAACAATGTTCCACTGGTTTGCAACTCTAGTGGATCTCCAGCTGAAGAGCTTTGAACAAATACAGAAACTGCTTCCTTCCCAAAATCCTCAAACCTGGAGTGGGGCAAGCAGGCTCAGGAAAGTTCCAAAGCACCAGGTGACCTAGATGGCATACAGCAAGAATAATGTAGCTAACTGTTTTCAAACTTCAAAGGAAAGTTTCCTTCTAGGTCATTGTCTTTCATAACTTTGAAAACTCACACACACACACACACACACACACACACACACACACACACTTCTATGCAATGTGGGATGACAGCAGTAATGAATATTGTCTTGGACTTTTGGAGCCATAAGTCATTTTCCAGGTACTACCTTGTTAGATTCTCAGTCAGCCAGTGCAGAGCACTAACACCATTACAGAGAGATCTATGATGCCTTTGCTGTGACAGTGGTGTAAGAGGCAAAACAATGGAAACACATGAAAGCCTGTGGGTGGCTCAGTGTGTTATGGGGTATTCCTGCAGGGAGGAGGCTATTGCTGCTAGGAGGACTATGGGTAGATTTATAGGTGTTGACTTGAACGAAAAGGCAGTCAGAAATCAACTTTAGAATCATAATTGTAAACTATTCTATTTTATTGTTTTTGTTGGTGTTGCTGTTATTGTTTCTAAGACATGCCTGGTCTCCCAAGCTGGCTTTTATCTCGCTAAGTAGCTGAGGATGGCCTTGAACCCCGACTCTCTTGCCTCCACCTCCTAAGTGCTGGGATTTCAGGTGTGTGCCACAAAGCTCTGTTTATATGGTGCTGGAACTTGGAACCCAGAACAAGCAAGGGCACTACCAAGTAGTGTCCACACCCCTCCATTGTTTGATTTACATATGTGAAGCTGTGTGCTTTATAAGCAAAGAAACCCATCTGGGAGGATCTACACGGAACCGTTTATTTTCTATCATGTGAGCCAGGATTAGGTAGAGATGAGGGAAATGGTGTTCACGTCTATGTTTTTCAATTTGCTACCACAAATATACTTTCACGTTTTTATATAAAAAAAATATTGTTTAAAATCATAAGTATAAGGTGCATCTTAAAAGAAACAATCACTCTCACTTTTTACAGTAAGTGATTAGGTCTCAGTGGAATGGTATAAAACTTGATCATGTGGCTAAAAGTCTGCCACATGTTCAACAATGGAAGTTTAGAAGACTGGGGTGGTAGAGGAAAACCCAATTTACCACAACCCAAATCTAGGGCTACTCCTGCTGCTCCTCCTCCAGCCCCAGTGCTTGCTGTGCAGAGCTTGACAGGCAGTCACTGGTTCTGGTCAGTGAAAGGGGAAACAATATTTTGCATAACCAAGTGAACCGGACAGGCTGGCACATCGTGAAACAGACCCATCCGCTCTCTCTTCTGCAGAGCCAAGCAATCTGCACACTGCCAATCTCCCCCACATGAGGCTGGCTCATCTCCCTGCTCACCCCAAGACTACCAGGGAGATTTATTCACTGCCTGTGGCAGCTGTTGGTGCTTCTGGGAAAGGATGCCCACACCTGAAGGACTGTTCTGTTTCCTAATTAGGAAAATTCACTTAACACACACTTTAGGGGAAATGTCCTGGGAGAGAGAAAGAGCCAGATGGGCACTAATCTTATATAAAAGCACCTTTGTTACCAGAATATGTTTGCAAATGTGTGTAGGTAGATGTTCATATGGTATATGTACACTCATTGTACACGCATGGATTCTATTTACACCTCCCTCTGAAATCTCTTCCATTAAAAACCTGTCCTTCCAATTGTTCTTAGGTATGTTTACAGTTCACCCATGTGTCAAAGGATAAGCTGTGCCTTGAAGCTTTTGTTTCTGGATTGTTGTTCTTACTCTTGATTTTCCTTTCTGCCAGGTACAACTCATCCACTATAACCACGAGCTGTACACAAATGTCACAGAAGCTGCAAAGAGTCCAAACGGATTGGTGGTAGTTTCTATATTTATAAAAGTAAGTCTTGCATTCTTTTGTTCTTCCTGCCATCCCCCATGCCAACCAGAATATCAATCTACAGTCTCTTGGGATTTAAGAACATTTAAAGAAGTAATGTCAATGCATGTCCATGCCTAAGAAAGCTTTTGGATCTTATGATTTTTATAACCATGGAATTCATGGACGATTCAAGCCTACTCAAGTAAGATAAAGAAGTGATAGGTTCCATTTCAGAGCTTCAGGGCCTGTAGGTTTGAGCAGCCTCTTTCCTAGAGAGAAAGCTGGTGCTATTTGTAGGCACAGGCTTCAGGCCATACCTACTATAGCAGATGAAGGGTACAGTAGCAGAAGAAGAGGGGCTAGAGTTCTGATGGCCTCTAGGACTGAGAGATTGTCCATCACTCACTGCCACCAGGAGAATAAGCGAAGTGTGAGATGTCCCTCCCTGGTAGACCGTGCACTACAAACCTCCAGGCTTCCCCCACAACAGCTATAAAATTCATCTTCCTTTCATACTTGAATGCTGATTTATAATCCTGGCAGGTGGAATTAAGACAAAGTCTGCATGTTGACTGTATGGCCTTCAGCCATGCTCCCGATAGCCAATAGGCAAGAACAGTGTGAAATGTCCAATTGAACAAATTCTGGTTGTCATTTGAATTATCGTTAATGTTTTGGCAGATGTAAAGTGATGCAGATGTGCAATTTTTTAATAAAAACACAAGATTTGCTATCGAGTTGTAAAAAGTTTTTTTGTTTTTGGTTTTTTAAGTAAACTGTGTTAGTTACAAAGTGCTGCACTGTGCTAGTTGCTGGGGAGGTTTGTGCCCCAATCATTAGAGAAAATTGGACCAACCAAAACTTAGAATGCTATGAAAAGTTTTAGTAGAAATTTAGCATTTACCACCAAGGAGATATAACACAGATCTTGGAATAATGGGGTCCCCAGGGACCCCTTAGGCAATAGTTCCCCCAAAAGCAGACTGTACAACAGGTACTGATCATCTTCCTAGATGCCATGCCTCCTGCTAACTTCCTTGCCTTCATCTGTTCCAGGCCAAATTCATGAAGCTTCGTAATAGCCCAGCCAGGAAAGACATTCAAGTCTTTCCTTGCTGTAGTATTCACTAATGTATTCCCATCACGTACCTACTCAATAGATCTGAGAGAAGAACTAAGATGAGTAGAGAGAAAACAACACTTAACTACCACACTCCCAGCCATATCACACTAGTACCTGAAAGCCTGAAACAAAGTCTTACTCTAGTCCCAGTTATGATAGACAACCAATCCATGCAGTCAGCCTGGTCCATGAGCATTGTGAAGCCTAAGGGTATGTTATATATTGTCATGTGACCAGGAATCACCTCCCTCTGTGGTTGTCCACCTGCCAAGCTTTCCATGAGTAATATTCAGGGGGCAACTTGCCTTTCCCAATAACTTGTGTCCTTTAAAGAGCATCTCATTGTCAGTCTCTGACTTTGCCTCACTTTGCTCCAAGCTTCTAAGTCAGTGAATGCCGTCCTGGAAACTCAAGCATGTAACAGATGACAATGACTGATGGAGTAACTGGCAGCCTACTTCCTCCACAGCAAACTGCTGTTACTTCACACGCTCATGCAGAAATTTGCACAACACTGAGTTTCTGTCAAACAGTCAGGCTTGCAGGTCCTGGTTGCTCCCCTGAAGTTTGAAGGACTTACACTAAAGCCTTAGGCCAGTAAGAGAGAGTGGCCAGCTCCTGCCTGAATCTTCTTAGGCCAGTTTGGCCCCTGAGGAATTTTCCATTCTTTCCTTGAGCAAATCTGAACCTTTCTGGCTCAGTCCCAAAATAAACCATAGCATTCCCCTCTTTCTTCCACAAAATCAACTCCCAGATATTCAGTGAGCTAGCTGAGCTCTGACTTGTCATGCACTCATCAAAAAAAAAAAAAAAAAAAAAAAAAAACAAACAAACAAACAAAAAAAAAAAAAAAACTCCAACAGAGCATGGGATAGAGGCCCATCCTCTGCCAGATACTGGTACCCAGAAATGAGATGGACTGAATCCTTAGTCCTAAGGATGTGCAGCCTCTGTTAGTCCCCAGCCCTCCTTCTAATGTCCCTGCCTTCCACTTCCAGTTCCCTGTAGGTAAGGCAAGAACAAGAGATGAGAAATCCCCACATATGAGTGGTTCATGTGGAGAAATGTCACCCTGACCAAATTCTGAGCCAGAGATGGCAAAGGGTTTAGTGGTAAAAGGAGATGATGGCTCAGCAGTTAAGGGTACATGTCGACAAGCCTGATGATCTGAGTTCAAGTCCTGGGACTTGCGGGGAAGGAGAGAACTGACTCCCAAGTTGGCCACTGAGCTCTACACATTCTTTGAGGCACAAGTGTGTGTGCACACAATCAATCAATCAATCATTCCATCAATAAGAGAGACTTGTTTCCCCTTCCCTCCCATCACCACAGGGAGCTGAGATTTGGCTATAATTGCTTTTCGATCACACACCATTAACTTCCCACTCAGTTCACTTATATCAAGTATTTTATCCTCTCACCCACACTGCCAACACACTTGTGCCCACAAATCATCTGTGTGCACTTTGGAAATATTTCAGTAATTTTTAATCAGCTCCAAAGGGGACTGGTCTCAACAGCAGTATTGTCCAGCGTGTCAGGAAGCCAAGGCACCCAGCAATTTAGACCCATTGCAGATTCCTATTCCACCAGACACATTCATGGACTTCCTGCTGTCACAAAGTACATCAGTACGAATAGGAGGAAGCACTGAGCTGTCCTTTCAGTGCTTCAGAGGATGTCACAACAGAAGATGAACTGGGCACTAACATCTCCAGGGTGCACAGTGTTCAGCTTGGGACTTTTCCCCACTGGAGGTGGATTTTTGCCTCCATTGAGTATCGCCAGTCCCCAAGCACCAGCTAGTTGTGTGCCTCACTACCACACACCCAGGAATCTGTGTGAAAAGAAAGACAGATGGAGACAAAATAAACAGTCTGTGCTTTCTCCAAACTAAAGTTACCTGTTGCTTATCTAATAACAATGATCATCTGCTAGGATTTTTCCAAACCTCAGAATAAATCAGATTTAAAATGTTGATGTGTCACAACATCCGATTAGCAGCTGAGATGTAAATTGCAGAGCTGCGCCGAGCAAGGTAGGAGAGAAATGACAAAGATGAACAGTGGTCCTGAGGAAAGACTGAGTGAAAAGGGTGTTGTTAAGGAAACTACAAGTGATAAAGGGTGATTCTCTGACCCCAGTCTGTTGCTTAGCCTCTTCTCCCAGAGGAAGAATCTGGATATGTAAGAGCATAAGTGCAAAATGGAAACTCATCTCTAGCACAATGTTTAGCCCATTATAGGGACTTGATAAATATTCCTAAGATAGATGGGTGGGTGAGTGGATAGAAGATTGAATGTTGTGGTTTATAATATAATCATATGATAATGAGCAGTGGAATTACAATGTTCTTTTTTTCCCCCTTCTTCCAGTACCCCTATTCTAGATATTCTTTCTTCTTAGACGAATTCCTCTTTCCTGACATGTCATTCCAATTCCCTGCTCAAAACCCTTTGATGGTTCCCCATACCCAAGGAATAAAGTTTAACTATATTCTATTGTGACATTCAAAACCTAACATGGCCTATCATCACATCCCAATGCCTTTAACTCCAACTACACTAGATGTTTGTATGAGCGCCTGCCTATCATGAGCAAATCCTAAGTATGTATGCTTTTTCTGCACTCCTTGCCTTTCAGTCTTTCCTCTATCCTAACATTAAAATACTTGAGCTTGCATCCATCCTTCCAAACCAACTCAGACTCTAGCTCCTCTGATTCTCAGACAGTGGGTGGACTCTATCAGAGCACTCCCAAATCTACATGAGGATGATTTGTTGTTTACCTACCTATCTTCCTTCTCGAGATGAGATGTCCATACAGAGTAGAGTATGTGTTTCTGATCTCTGAATTTCCAACCATTATAGACTTGGACCCATGGTAAGCCATCAATATGAAGGAATGAAATAATGCATGGAGATGTTTGCCCTGGGAGAGTGACCGACACCCAGTCATTAATACTTTCTCTTCCCTTATAGGTTTCTGATTCATCAAACCCATTTCTTAATCGAATGCTCAACAGAGATACTATCACAAGAATAACATATAAAAGTAAGTGTGGCCCAATTTCCTTTGCAGCAACAATTCTACAAAGGTTAGTCCTGTCAGAAGGCAGGAAGCCAGAACTGATGATCTCCATGGGCCCTTTCTGCCTCACGATCCTTTAATTCTGTAGAAAGCCACTCTGGAGAGTCAGGGTTGGCTAAGAAGCAGCTCATTTCAAACACAAGTCCCCAGAGTATCTTTGTCATCCACGCCTGTCTGAGGCAATAACGTTTATGATGATGTGGTCATCGTTATCCTGTGGATTGGTAATGAGCTAAGGGATTCTACCGGCTGACTGACTCCACCATGTCAGCTGTCTGTGTAGCTAAGGCTTTGCCAACTTTGTGATGAAAAAAGGAAAAAAACACCCACCAGGTACTTTGGACCCAATATGGACCTTTTAAGAACCACAACTGAACCAAGTCTTATCTGGTTCCAGAAGGGACCTGGGTGGCATCTCTCTTCATTCTCCACACCTCATGGATCTGTAGGGTTCTGTCAGCCTCCCAGGCTTTTAGATTACTTATCCTAAACTTCTTTACCAGAAAAGAAGAAAGTGTGCTGAGGTAAAGGGGGGGAGAACAGAGAAGGTAAACCTAGATGTTTCAGGACTTGGGGAAACCATGCAAGGTGGCACATACCAAGAGACGAAAATTAAAAATGGAGGAATACAAGGAGCACCTAGTTAGGAATGGGCAGGAAACATGAATGCAAGTCTCAGCTTTGACCTCTGCCGGGGAGGCCCCTCACTTTAATGTTGCTCCTTCATTCACAATGTGAGAAAGTTCAACTCTAGGTTTTTGAAATCTTAAAGGTCTAGATTTGTGAATCAAAAAAACAGGTAGATAATGATTTCCAACAACAGAAAAAAGAACACGTGGAATTTAAATTCTCACATCTCCCTGCAGAATTCTTCCCTGAGACCGTAACCCAGCTGTGCCTGCTGCTTCTGTCTCCAATGTCATGGGGAAGGACAGTACAGAGAGCCATTCCCCTTATCACTGACTGCTTCTCCCAACCCACATCTTCCACTGGAATGTAAAGATAGCTGAGACTCTGGTCCTCCCCACAAGGAGATCACTATCAGGTCACTCCTATATAAAGAGGTTGGGGAACTGATGGGGTAACCCATTATGACCCTGACATCACTCCAGCTCAACACACAGTGCCTTTAAGACTGACTTAAATCCTCTTCACACACAGCCATGCCCTTCCTCATCAGTATTCTTGTGGAGTCCTCCCTAAGCACATGCTTAGATTACTCAGCTAAGGGAGATATTTCTGTCTTGTGTGTAAATAGCACATTTATAACTGCCTATAAAAGATTATTATTCTTTTAACTTTTTTGATTAAAAAAGCATGAAAATTAAATAAAATGTTTTCAAATAATCTTGAATTTGCAGTTTAGAGACCGTGAAAAGCCATGAAATTGCACATTAAGCCCCAACACACAATCTGTCTGATTTCCACTAGCATAGGGGATCATTAGGGGGGGTCCTTTGCTACCCTGCCCTCCCCTTACACCAGTCTGATTAAAATGAAGTGAAGTGGTTACTAGTGCAGAAGGAAAAGCAGAGGAAGGGAAGAAAGAGGAGGGAGAAAAGACAAGGGAGGGAGAAGGCAAGCTGGAAGGCAAGCTGGAAGGAAGGAGCCGAAGCATTCCCGGCAGAGTAACATTGAAGGGACTGGCAGGACTCCAGAGAGGGGTATCTGTACCTATCAACACATCATCTCAGTTACTAGAGGAATGAACAGTCTCCTTCAGTCACAGTAACAGGTGGCAAGGGTGCGGAGGGGCAGAGAAAGTGTTCTAGGACCAAGTCTCTGTGTCATAGGAGGCTTATAATGTTTCCACCACTGAAGCAGAAACACAGAAAAAGAAATAGATGTACTCTCTCCTCCATCCATCCCTCACACTCAACACCTGCCAGGGACACTGGGCGGGGGGCGGTTAAGCAGGTCACACACTGGCCTTCATGCTGAGACATGATAATGGGTCCTCTAATAGCAGATGTTCTATGGGAGGTGTCCCCCATGGTGACCTGTGTCACACACCTGAAAGGAGTTTCACCCCAGGGATAATGATGGCTTGATAGACAGAACTGGCCCAGACACCACCATGTCCAGGACATTGGCAGAAAGGGATTGATTTGCTCAGCAGGAAACCACAGCTCTCTTCCCTCCAGTTCAATTTCCTACAGCCTCCAGCAGGGGAAGGTTGGCCCTGTGGCAGGTAGGGAGTCTAAAATGAAGCATCCTCAAGCATACAACCTAGGCATTCCCCACCCCACCCCACCCCAACCCTGAGCCTCTGTAAGAGGTACTAGCATGAGCCCACAAACTCAAGATGAGGAGGATGATGGGACATGCTTGGGGCGCCTGTTATAGTGTCCTGCTTTCACACTCTAGTGAGACAGGGAGAAGTAACACACACACACACACACACACACACACACACACACAACACACACTCTCTCTCTTAGTTAGGGTTACTACTGCTGTGATGAAACACCATGAGCAGAGCAACTTGGGGAGGAAAGGGTTTATTTGGCTTACACTTCTATATCACTGTTCATCATCAAAGGAAGTCAGGACAGGAACTCAAACAGAACAGGATCCTGAAGGCAGGAGCTGATGCAGCAGTCATGGAAGAGTGCTTACTGGCTTGCTTATAATGGCTTGCTTAGCCTGCTCTCTTATAGAATCCAGGACCACCAGCACAGGGATGGTACTACCCGCAGTGGGCTGGGCCCTCCTGCATCAAGCACTAATTAAGAAAATGCCCTACAGCTACATCTTATGGAAGCATTTTTCCAACTGAGGTTTCCTCTTTTCAGATAACTCTAGCTTGTGTCAAGTTAACATAAAAACTATACAGTAAACCCTCATACTCTACTGTTTCAACCACACTACCCAGGAACACCCAAACACATCTCTCCCTGATCTCTCAACCATCCACTGCAGAGTTCTAATCTGCCTTGCTCACTTAAACGGAATGTCCACTCTGCAGTGTAGTGAGCATCAGAAATTTAGAGGTGATGCAGAATGGCTACTCTGCACACCCCAGGGTCAGGGCTATACATATAGCACTTATCTTGTGCTCACACAAGCCTTTTAAATGGATATGTTTTAACCCCATTTCAGAGATGAGACCAAGGATGCATATATAGGTGGCTGTATAGTCAGTAACTTCTATATAATCAACAAGCACTTAGCAGTAAGTGTTGACTTATCACTGTTATGTGGGAAGGTTTAGTCAAGATGTCTCTGCCTACAGGCAGAGGTCCTCAGGTCAGCTAAGGAAGAGAGATCAACATGGCTCTTATCTTTCTAGCATCAAAGGAACATCTTTGCCACAGTACATGAATTCATGTAATACTATCTAAGGCTTAGTCTTTAAATATGCTCACAATATTAATTTCCATTCCCTAGCACCTATCACATGACCCAGAAGCTCAAGGTCACAATCCTCCCACAGAGATGGGAATGGGAAAAGAAGGAACTTCCTGAACTACAACCCATATACACATGGATCCTCCTGGGCATGGTTCCTATGTCATTTCCTTTTTCCTATTATTCCTTCTTGTAGAGCAAGGAAAGATACACTCTGAGGCCTTGAAACTAATTATAAACCTTTCAGCATGCTTTTCTCTTAATTGCAGCTTGAGTTTGGGCTGATGAGCAATAACATTGCTCAGCATGCCACTTCTTACATTTTCTTCCATTTAGAAGGGACCCCAACCACAGAACTAACACAGTGACACTTGGTCAGCTCAGGCTGATCCTAGACAAGCTGTATCCAACTCCTAAATACATGTTACTTTACATAGGGACCCCCTGTGGAAATCAGTATCCTTCAGAGGACACTGTCACACTGTGATGGTTGGCATACCTAGTAACCAGAGATGGCACCACAGACTGGAAGCTAGTCTAAGCCTTCGAGCAGAGTGACATCATCTTCTGTCAAAAGGAACATTCTAGGTCAGGTAGATGGTTCAGGGGTAGGAACATTTGCTGAGCAAGCAGGAGGACCTGAGCCAACCTAGCTCCAAGTTCAGTGGCAGAACCTGTCTGAAGTGAATAAGACAGAGAGTAATAAAGCAAGACACTCCGTGTTTTCCTCTGGCTTCCTCGTGCATGCTCGTGGGCAAGCACATCTGCATAGACAACACACACACACACACCACATACCACATACACATAACATATACATATACCATACATATAGAAAAAAGGTGTAGTATGATTGATTATTTGACAAAAATAGGGCTGGAGAGATAGCTCAGTGTCTAAGAGCCCTTGGTCCTCTTGCAGAAGACCCTGGTTCAATTCTCAGAGCCCACATAGTGACTCACAGCCACTCATAACTCCAACTCCAGAGAATCCAAAGCCCTCTTTTGACTTTTTATGAAGGCACCAAGTATGCATGTGGATTTCCATACATATACTCAGGCAAAGCATTCATAAATATAAAATAAAATAAGTCTAAAATAGTTTTAAATAGACTACAGTGTGACAAGAGTGAAAACAGGAATGGTCAAAGCCATCCAAATAAGGGGATGAGGTGGTGGTAACTGATGGTAACCAGGTCAATGGTGATAAGAGATTGGATATATTTTAAAGGGACAGGATATTTCTTGGTAAATTAGATGTTTAATGTGTAAAAGAAAACAGAACCAAGGATTCCCATGAAATTTTTAGTCCAAGCCACTGGAAGGAAGATATTTCCATCTGCTGAGATGGGGAAGACTCAGATGAAGCGTGTCTGTGGGTAGGGAAGGGATCACAGATCGTGAACAAATCGTGCTTGGGATTTCTATTAAGCATTCAAGAGGAGGGGTGGTGTAGGCAATTGGATATATGAGTCTGGATTTCAGGAGAGAGAACCAGAGTTGTAAATGTGGAAGACATCAGCATCCAGATGGCATTTAAACTTGGGTGAAGTCATAGAAGTAAGAATAAATACAGGAGATAGGCGGGACAAGTCCTCACTTCTGAAAGGGCAG